CACAATTTTGATACTTTCATCAATTTAAGCCATTAACTCCGTCCACTTGGTATTTTTTATATTTTTTTAATGACATATATAATCTAACTGGAAAAAAATGATAATATAGATAAATAAAATAACATGTAAATAAATCTTTATATTTTTTATAAAAAAATATAAAAACCTCTCTACCTATTTTCTTTCCCCTCTTTCTTTCTCTTTCTTCTGGCGAGGGAAGAAAATAGGTGGAAAGGTTTTTTTATTTTTATTAAAAATATAAAAATTTTATTATATCTACCACATAGGCAGCACCCTTTCTCAACCCTCATACCTCTACTTGTTAGTAAATCTCTAGTTTTTAGTCTACCCCGCAATACCAACCAAAAGATGAATCTATGTCGCGGGAAAATGCACCCTACCCAAACAATATGATGCCATTCTACCTTAGGGCGTTTCACTCTTAGGAACTCATAGCAACTTGAAATAGTAAACAAACCATTCTTTGCAGGTTTCCATATAGCATTGTCCACTTGTTGAGATAGTTTTTGACATCTAATAATCTGGACAAGCATGGGATGTCTTCTCAGAAAACTATCTGGAATGGTCCAGTCTAAACCATCCCACCACTCACTAACTGTAAGGTCATGGCCCCAAACAACAATCTCTTCCCTTGAGATCAACTCACAGAACCTTAACTCACCTGCCCACCAATCATAGAATAGTGAAACTTGTCTTCCATCTCCCACTTGCATCCAAATGATATTTTTCAGTAGAAGACGAAGTTTTAAAACTTGCCTCCATGTCCAAGCACAATCCGTTGGGATTTTAACCTTCCAAAAATTTTCACCCCTCAACAGCACCACCTGTGCCCACTTAACCCACAGCGACTCTTGATGTTGACATATATTCCAAACCAATTTGCCTAATGCTGCCTTATTCCAATGCAGCAATTGCTTCACCCCTAGTCCCCCTTCTTTCCTTGGCACACATACATCATCCCATGCTACAAGAGACATTGCATTATAATTCCATTTACCACACCAAATGAAATTTCTATAAGCAGTATCAATTAGCTTTAACACTTTCTTAGGAATCAATAAAGCACCACTCCAAAAAACTTGAATGTGGAATAAAACAGAGTTAACAAGTTGAACTCTACCTGCATATGAAAGGAATTTCGTTGCCCAAGAGCCAATTCTCTGATGAATTTTATCGATAATAGGTTGACATGCCCCCGGAGACAGCTTTTTTGAAATCAATGGCAACCCCAAATATCTAACTGGCAGCTGTCCCTCAGCAAAACCCAACTTCTGAATTAAAGCAACTTTCTGCCCTTCTCTAACACTACTGGAAAAAAACCTGACTCTTCATTCTATTCACTTCCAACCCAGAGACTCGGGCAAACTCCTCAAACTTTTGCATCATCAAAACAGTGGACTCCTCATCAGCATTACAAAAAAGCATAATGTCATCTGCAAAGATCAAGTGCGTAAGTTGCATCACTCGACACTTACTATGATATTTAAACTTCTCCTGCATATCTAACTCCTTCAATTTCCTTGTGAGATATTCCATCACTAGCACAAATAGATAAGGCGAGATTGGATCACCTTGTCGAAGCCCTCGTTGCCCCTGAAAATAACCCTTTGGCTGTCCATTTATCAATACAGAAAATCTGGTAGTAGAAACACAAAGCATAAGCTAGTTAATAAATCTATCAGGGAAGTTCAGCCTTCTTAACATTGCCTTAACATAACCCCAATCCACTGAATCATATGCTTTTTGTAGATCAATTTTCATTAAGCATCTAGCTGGCCCCCTGCTTCTATGATAGTTCCTCACCAGATCTTGGCAAATCAATAAATTTGTCGTTATAGATTTGCCCTTCACAAATGCAGTTTGATTATTGCTAACCAGCATGTTCAGCACTTCATTAATCTTCTGGTTGCCCACCTTCGGAACAATAGTGATATTGGTGGCATGAATTTGCTTGAGGACTTTCCCACTGTCAAAGAAATCCAACACAGCAGCCGTGACATCATTTTTAATTATTGACTAGGCTGCTCTATAGAACCCTGAAGTGAATCCATCAGGCCCCGATGACTTGTTAGAAGGAATTGAAAATAGGGTAGTCTCCACTTCCTTAGCAGTAAATGGCCTGCATAACTCTTCTGACTCTTCTGTAGTTAACACTCTGCCCCTGCGGATAACATTCATATCAATTGCTTGAACACCTTCTTTTGCCTTTCCAAACAAGTTTTGATAGAACATTAAAAACTCTTGTTCTATAAGTTCAGGCCGAGTCACTCTAACTCCTTCACTGTTCAGGATGGAGTTAATAACACTTCTATGCTGCCTCTCCTTTACTTTAGCATGAAAATAAGCAGAATTAGAGTCCATCTCCTTTAGCCAAGTTACTTTAGCTCGTTGGGCAATTACGGACAAATTGGCTCTCTCAAGCTTAGTTAATTCACGTTGAAGTTCCTTTTCCTTTGCAGCCAAAGTCTCATCAAATAAAGCATTCTGCATGGAAGCTTGAACATTTTGTAGCTCTGCTGCCATATCTTTTATTCTTCCCTCCAAGTTTCCATATCTATTTTTATGCAGCTGCTTCATCTTCTGTTTTACCAATTTCAATTTCTGCACTACAACAAACATAGGGCATCCCTGAATATCCACCCTCCAAGCTTCCCTAACCAGATCAAGGAAGTTTTCATCTTTAGACCAAGCATTGCAGAATCTAAATGGCCTTGGTTTCTCGTTCATCAATACATCCACAGTCACTAAAGAGGGTGATTGATCTGAGGATTGTGGATTTAGAAAGACAACAAAAGTATTTGGGAATGCACTAACCCATGTTGAATTTGCCATTACCCTGTCCAGCTTGCACCACAACCTGTCATTTTCCCCTTGCTTATTACTCCAAGTGAAGAAAGCACCTGAAAATTGCAGATCAAAAACCTCCATTCTACTGACAAAATCCTTGAGCTCTGAGGTATCTCCCCAAACAACTCCATTAGGCTTCACCCTTTCACCATAATTTAGAGTTGTATTAAAATCTCCAGAAATTATCCATGGCACATTTTCAACGTCTAGAGCTCTAACTTGATCCCATAATGCTACTCTACCATCAAAAGTATTAAAAGCATAGACAATTGTGCACAAAAATTTAACGTCCCCAACTGTAGAGCATACTTCAACATGTAGCAATTGGTCTGTTTGTATTACTTCAGTCACCTTCAAATCTGTTTTATTCCATAATATCCAAATTCTACCATTAGGATGAGAGTTATAATTATTCAACCATCCCCATTGCCTACCAAAAGTTTGCACAACTCGACTACTATTCTCTTGTTTCACTCTAGTTTCTAATAAAGCCATAAAATGGACTTTATTTGAACATATAAACTTCTTAACATCTACTTGCCTTATAGGGTCATTCAAACCCCTCACATTCCATGAAGAAAGATATATCATGAGAGAGATTTACTTACAGAAGATTCTCCCCCTGCTGCCTTTTGCATCATCTCTTTATCCCCTGTGCCAATACTAGTCTCATTCTGTAGATTCACTGACTTCATAGCTCCCACTTCCAGTTGCACTGGACTTTGCTCATTTCTTTCCACTATCAACTTTCCAGAAGGACGTGAAAGTGTACTCTGCTTCACATTTGCTGAATTAGTAGCTGTTTGCACTTCACCACTACATAATTCATCATTCCCCTCAAAAGACTTTGTGCCAACTATCTGATTGACCACCTGCTCCTTGGCAGGTTTTTTTGGAACCCACACCTTTTTTTCCTTAGCAGTACAGTTTCTCTCTTCATGCCTCAGGTTTCTACATTTACCACATCTAACAGGCTCCCATTCAAAGACCACAGGCTGCTGGAACACACCCTTAGGACCAATAATAGGAACTACACGGGGCAGAGTGTCCATGATTTCCATCTCTACTAGCATACGAGCATAAGCCACTCTTTGCCTTTTAGCTGTTAATGCATCAGTTGCAATAGGAACTCCCACATAGCTTGCTAGCTTTCCTAAGCTCTCAGGGTTCCAGAGACTCAAATGGAGTTCAGGAAATTGGATCCAGACAGGAATCTTACTGATATCCAAATTGTCAGGATCAAAATCTGGAGTCCATTGTTTCAAAATCAAAGGGTGCCCATTAAATGTCCATCGCCTCTCTAGCACCGCCTGCTTTGCATCTGCATTACCAAAATCAAACAAGAAAACTCCATTTCGCAGCATAGACGCCTTAGGCACCTGGAATTCCCTCCACTTGTTATTCACAAAATTAGCAACATCCTTAAAATCAGGTTTAGATCCCAGAACATACCCAACAAGAGCATTCTCCCAAATCTTTGACCCTTTAACCCACTCATCCTCAGTAATAACCACAACACCAGTTGGGTCTTGAGGTTTTATATATTGCAAATCCCATCCTTTACTAATATCCCTATTCCTTTCCACAACCGAAGACCAGCTACGTAGTGGCTTCTGCTTTAGGGATGGATGAAATTCCCCTTTCTCCTTCTCAATCAGCTCACTCCACCGAGCACTAGGAGATACCGCCGTACCGGATGTAGAACCAGCGGCCCTTTCCTCAGAAGGTTGCTTCATCTGGATGACAGAAGGCTGAGTCTCTGAGCGCACTCCCTTCTTCCCCATCACTACTTTCCCTTCCACGGGGTCGACCTCGCTCTTCCCCTTATCTGCTCTTCCATCCCTAGGACCTGCATCGCATCTGCTTTTCCTCTGACCTTGTGTCGAATCTGCTAGATCTAGCAAAATTCCTTCAGCGTCCCTTTCTTTCTCCCCTAGATCTGGACTCAAACAACCTGATTCCTCAATTTCGAGACCCATCTGGTTTGGATCGTGAGCAACAGGCTTCACAACCTCAGTTTGCTCTTTGTTGGTTTCCTCAACTTGGATGCTATTTTGCTCCCCATTATCATCTTTCAAATCTGTTGTTTTTGTTGTAGCACCACCCTTAGGTAGCGGATCTTTCTTTCTCGGCTGGCCTCTGCCACCCATCTCCGGCGTTTCCAGCTAAACCACCACGCTTGCGAACGATGGCATGGTTGACGGAGAGGAGGCGTAGAGCTGCGAGTTTTTCAAAAAGCTGTATTATTTATGTCATCATTATTTCTAGTTAGATGATCTATGTTATTATTTTTTTCCAGTTAGATTATACATGTCATCAAAAAAATATAAAAAATACCAAGTGGATGGAGTTAATGGCTTAAACTGATGAAAGTATCAAAATTGTGCAGTTATTAAAGTTAAGGGATTAAAAAAGTATAAAAAATAATTTAAGGATAAAAAAGTACAAAAAATAGTTTATGAACCAAAAAAGAAAATTCAATAAAGTTGAGGGATAAAAAAGTGAAATTTAATGAAGTTGAGGGACAAAAAAGTGAAACTCAATGAAGTTGAGAGACCAAAATTAGCATTTAACCAATTTTTTTCAAGTGGCGGGTGTGAAATGTGACGGAACATTAACGGAATAATAGGAGATTTGACTCGGAAGTTAGTTTTCCGTCCAATTGGGACCTTATTTGAGAATTTTGTGGAGTTTGGTACCTTCATTGAGCGCAATCGAAGTTTGGGTCCAAAATTGCGAATTTGGTGTAAGTTTGGGTCCTTATGTCATATTTTTGCCTTAATAATACACCGAAAGATGAGAACAACAGATAAAAAAAAGTTTCCTAAAATGTCTATTTATGTGGAACAGAAGGAATATTAAGAAAATATTTATTACACTTTTTAAATAATTAAATTATATAAAAAGAATAAAATTTTATTTTAATTTTAATAATTAATTAATTACATTAAAATATGTAACATTAGTGTTAAAGGTAATATTAATTTTTTAATTTTTTAAATGATTCTTAAATTAAAAAAAATATATTAATTATATATTTAATATATACCTTAAAGATATAAGGTAAAAAAAATTATTAAATAATGTTATAATTCTAATATGAATTATTTTCAACATCCAACAAACTTCGGCCCATTTCAAAAGGGATGGGCTTAACCAAATGAAGCCCATTCTACATTAACCATATTAAGCTACCCTAGCCCATTCCTTATTGGGCTAGCTGCCTAATTGCCAATATACTAGCAAAAGGCTTCATTTCGATCTACAATCCGATTGGGGGGGAAGCAAGCTAATGACTCAAATGAGTTCCCAATATTTTTCAGAAAAAAAAAAGATTTCTGAGGAGGAATAGTTTCTTGACTTCGAGGAAATCCACAAAATTTTGCTTTTCATGGAAAAGCCATCCAAAAAAGAGAAGAAAACAGAAAAAAAGACCAAAAAAAAAAAAAGATGAGTCATTTCTTCTCGGGTGAAATATATTAGAAAGGAAACTCTTTTACCAAATTTTTTACTCCCCTTTCGGCGTCCATTGATTATATATTAGAAAGGAAAAAGGAGCTAGAAAGACATGCCTTTCCTGTCCTAAGTACTAACCTTAGTTTCAGCCCACATAGTATGGGGACAAAGCAACCGACCAATCCCAGAAGTGGACAAAGCAAACATAACAATGTGAAACCAAATTCCAAGAAATATTAACACCGTATATAATCTCCTCTTCCTAAAAAAGGAGTTATCGTTCTCTCTCAACTTTGATGGCCATGTGTAATTGCACCAAACCAGATGTCCTTCTTCAGTCCACGTATGCACTCCGGATCGACCTGCAAAGCCCCGAGGTGGCTCCTCGGGGTAAACACTCCGATGCCTAAGTCAGCAATAATCGGGGCTACCTTTAGGGTGGAGAAACAAGGAGCTTAGGGTTGGTTTCAATTACCTTTTTGCGTGACCCTTGAGGGGTATTTATATGTTCCGATGAAGAACCCATGTGGCATGCCAAGCAAGATATTCGGGATCCGATGTATATCTCCAAGCAGTTATTTCGGGACCGAGAGATTGAGCCAAGCAAGATATCTGGGATTTGATATGTATCTCCAAACAGTTATTTCGGGATCGGGAGATTGAGATATATTTAGATGCAAGAACGTCCATCATAATTGCTGTGTAGCTATTAGAGCGGGAAGCTCTGGATTTACTCTTCACTCCGGTTGTAACGGAATTACTGTTGTATGTCCGAGGTTGGGCACCTCGGACCTGCTCTTACACTATTCCCCCCCCCCCCCC